CTAATAGAGGAGGTTGAAAATGACAGAGAAAGAAAAGTAAGGTGTGGAATGAGGGAGAAAAATAAATCGAAGAAGAGTGTGCAGATTCAAATAAGAAAGAAACAAAGAAACGAAGAAATAGAAAAAAAAAAGGAAGAAAATAAAGGAAAATGAAGAGAGTGAGTGAAGAGGGTAATGAGTGTAAAAGAAAGATGGAAACAGACATAGGAAGATGAAGAAAAAAGGATGAATGAGAGTGAAGAGGGTAGAGAGAAGAAAGAAAGAAAGAAAGAAAGAAAGAAAGAAAGAAAGAAAGAAAGAAAGAGAAAAGTAAAAAGAGGGAAAAGGCAAGCAGATGAAGAGAAAAGGAAGAAAAAGAGCGAAGAGGTTTGGGAGAATAAGGAAAAAGAAAGAAAGAAAGAAAGAAACAAAGAGAAAAGGTAAAATTGAAAAGAGGCTAACAAAAAGACAAGCAGATGAAGAAGAGAAAAAAAAAAAATCGAAGAGATTATGGAGAACAAGGGATAGAAAGAAAGAAAGAAAGAAAGAAAGAAAGAAAGAAAGAGAAAAGTAAAAAGAGGGAAAAGGCAAGCAGATGAAGAGAAAAGGAAGAAAAAAAGAGCGAAGAGGTTTGGGAGAATAAGGAAAAGAAAGAAAGAAAGAAAGAAAGAAACAAAGAGAAAAGGTAAAATTGAAAAGAGGCTAACAAAAAGACAAGCAGATGAAGAAGAGAAAACGAAAAAAATCGAAGAGATTATGGAGAACAAGGGATAGAAAGAAAGAAAGAAAGAAAGAAAGAAAGAAAGAAAGAAAGAAAGAAAGAAAGTAAGAAAGAAAGAAAGTGAAAAGACGGAAACAGATATCGGAAGATGAAAAAAAAAAAGAAGAATAAGAGTGAAGACGGTACAAAGAAGAAAGAAAGAAAGAACGAAAGAAAGAAATAAAGAAAGCAATGATGAATGTTGGAATTAAAAAATCGGTAAAGTAATTTACCATTCTTGTGAAAATCCAAAGAATCTACGATTTTATCGTTTCAGGCGTGACATCTCAACTTCACTGACATTTACACCAACGTAACGTAGCTTTCTTGTACTTTTAACATATATACTTTCATGGTAATTGTTCTTATGAGCTTTCCTCTTTGATACCTCGACTTCAGAAAATTAAGCGCAGTACTAGATTGGCTGCTAGGTCTCACCATTTTACAGTTGAAATTGTTAAGTCTAAACGTAACTTCTATTTTGATGGCTTCTTGCATTTCTCGCTTACGGACCTCTTGCTTTCGTGTCATCAAAAACTTAAAGGCAACATCAATGGTCTCCTTGAATCCTGAAGGTCTTCACAGTTTCTTTCACTTACAGGAAACACTTTCGTCTTAGTGGCTTTATTGTCTTGCTTGGGGTGGAATTTTTTTTTAAAAATAGATCTCTTGAAATATTTAATGTCTCTATGCGTACCTTTAGATCGGATGGAAATAATTCTTGGCAAGAACCACTTTCGTTTTGTAATTTCTTTTTCCAATGTTTCAAGTGAGATTCGAGAGTGTCCTTTTGCATCATTTGGAGGCACAAAGTGTTACTCCTGGTGATTAATAACTTAAATGCACACACACACAGACACACAGACACACACACACACACACATATATATATAGCAATGTATCATTATTACAAAAAGTAAATTAGTAAAGTTAATGATATAAAATGGCGAAATCCCTTCGCTAACAAAATTTTAAAGATGCATTAACCTACCAATCACTCGATGAATGTTATGATACTTGTTTTTTTTTTTAAATTATAAACTGTATTAGGTCATGCTTAAATATGCAAGTACTTTCGAAGGTTCCTCCGGTCATCATCAAGCATGGAAACTATTTCGTTTTTGGTAAAATTCAGTTAACATCTGTGATGAAAAAATATAATGCAATCGAAATATGTTTTTTTTTAAATGTGTTATTGATATCGGATACAAATTTGTGGAGTGTGCAGTCGCAACGCTAAGGTTGAATTTTTTAAAATTTATGCGATTCGCACGCACACACACACACACACTCTCTCTCACACACACACACAAACACACACACACACACATATATATATATATAGAGAGAGAGAGAGACAGATAGATAGATATCTTATCAAACTATAAACTTGCACCATGTTAATTTTTCAAACATCTCCGTTTTTGAAAAAAATTACTCCTTTCTCAAGCCAAAATATATGTCTATACCTCTGAGATGAAGTATTATGATTATTTACATTATTTACATTATTCGGACTGTTCTCATCTTCATGAAAATGAGGATAACAGTCCGAATAATCTTAAGGCTATAAAAATGTTTTCCTTTTGCCTTTATTCACCCCCATCACCACACAAATTTATACATACATTATATATAATACTAATAATTTTTTCTTTAAATAAATATTGAGGACTACAAATTCTTAATGCACTTAGATAGAAACCTATAATAATTCCAGATTTAATTTTTGAAGAGTGGTTTGAGTAGAAACTGATCAGATTATTTTTGTTTGTAGCCTTTCTGTAAACGTCAAAATTGAGTTCGTTATTATTTCTAATTAACAAAATGTCCAGGAACGGAAGAGTGTAGTTGGTTTCAGTTTCAAAAGTGAAGTTTATTGTAGGTTCAATGTTGTTAAGTTTGGAGAGAAGATCCGTTAAATTGGTGTTTTTTGGAATTATTAATAATATTTTTGAATGAGTCACTTTCTAGAAATGTTCTCCCTACAAACTCTTCATATTTCAGATACATAGACGACTCAGTTTTCCTATTGTCATTTTTATATATATATATATATATATATATATATATATATATATATATATATATATATATATATAATATCATTGGTTCCTTTTGCCTTTATATACCAAGCACTTCTGAGATTTAATCCTGTTTTCCTCTTTGAATACAATAATATTTAAATATAAAACTAAAATAATATAATAATAATTACTCTATAGAAACATTCAACAACAATATAATCATTTATTCACTTTTGTCCATTAGTCATTAAATTATGTCACTTAGTATCCTCCATAATTTACTTTGTCTTTCAGTCAACCGGAAGTATATTTGTAAGGGTTCTTAAATTAAAAAAATTCTGAAAAAATAATGAAATATTTACTTCTGCTTCTAAATACTTGCTAAACAAAAGCCTTACATTTGCCTTAATAAAGTCCATCAGAGGATGAAACGTGTTGGCTAAGATATGTTTTTCTTTTGTCTTTATTCCTATTGTCCTTTTACACACACACACACACACACACACACACACACACACACACACACACACACATATATATATATATATATATATATATATATATATATATATATATATATATACTAGCAGCATGTCCCGGCGTTGCCCGTGTTTGATTCAAAAATCGTACAACTCATACAGCAATCGCTATCACTTGACTTAAAATATTTTTTGCCCTTCCTTGCCTTTTTTTAAAGGAGTGCCCTTTGCCGTGCTGATGTTGCTACATGCCTTACTTCTTGCTTATCTCACACTGCGAATTTTTTCTAAATTCTATACTAAACATTAAATCTGTTACGAAAAAAGAACTAAACAAAATGAACACAAAACGATCAGCTTTAAAAAAGGACTCGTAACTGTAAAAACAGAATGAAAAAAGAATGTTAACAAGAAATACTTTTTCACACCCAACCCAGTTCTTCGGAATCAGAATCAAGGTTGAGTTTAAGCAAGCGAATGAGCCAATTGGAGTAAAGTGCCATGCAGATTTAAATTTTTCCCACTTTTGACGAATGCAGCTATCGATTTTTTTTGCCTGCTAGTTAACATTCGAGTCAGTCAGCTGTTGGCTCTCACGCTGGCCAATAGAATCTTCCTGCCTATTTGTGGCAGCCAGCTATTGGCTCTCACTCTGGCCAGTAGAAAATGGCCGCAAACTACATGAAAACTGCCGTAGAAGCATGAAAAATCGATTATTTCCACTATCGATGGGAGTTGGGAAATGCAAAGTCGGTCTTGGCCTTTCCGCTAACTTGAAGCATGTACATGTAAATTTTGGTGTAAATCCGTCGAAAATTGCGGCCGTGCATTCGTTACACACACACACACACACACACACACACACACACACACACACACATCCTGCCTTTTATAGATAGAGATTTATTTATTCTCCCATGTTTAAAATACGATTAACCTGCTTTTATTTTCAAAATCCGATTTACCCTCCCCTCACCTTTAATATTTGATTTACTCCCCCACAAATCTTATTTCCTCCAACTCTTAAGATCTTATTTACACCCACTTTTAAAATCTGATTTCTTCTTCCGACATTAAAAATCTGATTTACCCCTACACACACCATCATTATTTTTAAAATCTGATCTACACTCACCCACTTTTAAAATCTGATTTACCCCCAACTTTTAAAATCCCAATTAACTCGCTTTTTAAAACCTCACTTAACCTCCCCTTACAGATTAAAAATCTGATTTAATCTCCCTCCCATATTTAAAAATCACTGCAACTATCACATTTAAAATCTAATTTACCCTCCCACAGCAACCACCCTTTGGCCAATCCGTCGAAAATTGCGGCCGTGCATTCGTTACACACACACACATTCTGCCTTTTATAGATAGAGATATATATTTGAGTGACAGAACTAATTTCAACTTGAGGTTAATTTGCATTTCTAATAAAAATTTCCCAAATAGTTCCATTTAGGTGTAAATCTGCTTAATTCGAAAATAAAGAAATTTTGATAAAATCTACCGTTTTGGAGATATTCACAGTAAATGTTCCGACTCATTCGCGTCGCGGTCGGCGAAGTTGAAATTCTGCACCCCATATATTTTTACTTATAGCCGGAATTTTAGACACACACACGCAGGTACTCACGCACAGGCACACACACACACCAACACACACACGCACAGGCACACACAAACACACACACATATATATGAAGAAATATAGTTTTAAGGTGTGCTATATTTATGGGATAAAGTGCTCAATATCAGAGATAGAGCCTATGTAAATATAAATATAAAAGTGAACATTGAAGTCGACACTGAGAGGCGACAGGCTGTTTCATGCTAAACGCAATTGTCAGGCGGCCTAACGATTGCGCGTAGCATGAAACAGCCTGTCGCCTCTGAGTGTTGATTTCAATGTTCACTTATATATATATATATATATATATATATATATATTGCGTCGGGACACGTTTCGTCGCATTTGTAAGTCAATCTCAAAGACAATATTTCGATGTTTGCGTATAGATTTTTTCAATCGTAAATGTACCATTTTGTTTTACTACACGTCGCGCATTATACATAAATGGTGCGATGGTTAAATTGTCCCCTTTTTCATTTTTAATTTCGCGTTGTTTTTTTTTTTTTTGTTTTTTTTTTATTTTGTCGACTACACAGTATAGTAGGGTCAGTTGGGCACCATCTATGAGAAAAAGAGCACCATGACACAATTCATTCCGCCGTGCAGTGCAGATGATTCGGAAAGAGTTCTATGAGTCTAATGGTGATTACGAAGGTATGGCAACTCGGAAAACTTACTATGATACTCCCAAATTGTTGGTGAGACCAGGCCATAATATTTTTTCCATATCGAGTAACTCCAAGACGAAATAAATGTATTGTAGACCAAAAGATGATTTTTTTAAGAATCTGTTATTTATTAACGGTTACATAATTTTGGAACGTGCAGTGACGCAACGCTAGAGTTGTATTTCAAATGAGAACACTTTTTTGATTATATTAATGTGTTAAATTCGAGATTTTTCTTGTTGTAAGTATTATTTTTTTTATTAAAGCCTGATGATGAAAATGTGATCATTTTCGAAAGTACTAGCAGCACCAGAACATCAAATTCATCGTACAATTTTAAACGTAACGATCGCATCATTTAACGAATGGCTAGTGGGTTAATGCTTTATTAAATTTGTTAGCGAAGAGATTTCGTCATTAATTA